CTGATGATCTCGTCTAATCCTTGCATAACACATGCCTAATAACTTCATCCAGTAATTGCTGCACTGAGCCTGGATTTCAGTTTGAGGTAGAGCTTATTGACTTAGAAAAATACTCTGCATAATTTAAAGACTTTATGTGATGGAGAATATACCAGGTAACTGAGTAAGTTGTCTCCACTGGTCATCATCCTCCCTGTTGAGTATTTGCACTTAATTTCTAGCCTGAAATCAGTTTCCAACCAGCAGAGCACATAATTCCCTTTTCTTCTAAATAGAAGAGCTACCTGCCTTCAGACAGTACTTCCCTGCCCAGGTAGAAGATTGTGATTGCAGATGGAGATCAAGTCATCTCTTCAAATTGCCTCTGATAAATTAATAGCTTGAGCTTCATTAGTTTGACTCTATAATAAGACCTGTTTTCCTGCCCTTGAATGACACTGGGAACTATTGAAATAATCTTCCCAAGTTGTTGATACCTTTTTTGAAAGACTGACAGTGAGCAAACAAACTGGAATGGTATCACTACAGCCAGGTCCTACATCCCAGCTAGCAAGAGCATCTCTGGGGATGATGCTGAACAGATAATTTATGACATCTTCACAGCCACTGTATTATTGCAGACATACTCCCCATGCTACATGGACTTGCTGCCGTCCTCCTGGATTTTTAACTTTTCTGTCCTCTGGGTTATTCTCCACTACTGACCTGCTCAGATCATTATTTATTGTGCCCCTGTTTTTGTCATCTCTGGCTGTTGCCAACAGTAATTTTCTCTTTCCCTGGGGGGTATACTGAAAATAGAGCAAACCTTGGGAGGAGCTCATCAGAAATAGTCTCAGTGAGGATAATTCATATTTACAGCTATTTTTTGTGATCAGCCTGTAATCCATTTTTAATCCATTAAATATGGGTGATATTGATTTTGCATTATGCTATTTTGTTCTTTATCAGAATCAAATGCTCTATAGGAGGCTAAGTATTGTATGCCAGCAGAGCTTCTTTTCTCAACAATCCTTTGATATCACAGAAATAATAAGAATTTGGCATGATATAGTTCTATAAAAATAAAATGGGGGACTTTATCAATTTTTAAGTCCTCCAATGATTACGCCATATCCACTTTTCCATGATTTTGCCTAAGACTGATAGGAAGCTACTGAGTCTATAGTTTTCAGTATCAAACCACTCATTCTTTTGAATTATTGTGGGTCTGGTGTCATTTGAAGCGTCCCTTATGCTTTCTGGTTCTGAGGAGTCCTAGGCAAATTTTTCCTTCACTTTTGGATTCATTAATAGTTCTACAACTTTAAAATCATGTTTGGATAGTTACTGCTTAATATTACCTGTAATTACTGATGGAGTAGGAGGAATTACATTTTAATGTGTAATCTGACTCCCTCCTTCCACTGCTTTCAAATACAAAACAAGACTATTTGTTGGGTTTCCAATGTAGTGTGAGCAATCTCTGTGCTGGGCCTGTCTAACATCACACTTAGCTTTGCTATGGTGGTATTTATTAGGATATATGTAAAGTCTTTGGTGTAACCAGCCCTAACCTATTTGCCACTGACTTCCCATACATATTTGGCTTCCTTCATTAAGCACCTACTTTCCTTACTTGCTGATTTATCCTCATGAGCCTGCCTAATCACCCATGCATTGTCTTGGTGGGTTTTTTTTTTGCACTCCAGATTACTTTCCTGAATTTTACTAAGGAGGTTGCAGGTAATGCTGGTCATATTTTCCCCTCACCCATCAATTTTAATTATACCAGAGGACCTTATCTTTTTAAATTAAAATCTTATTGACAGCCTATATATACCAGGGTTAACTGCAGTCCTGCAGCAGGGCTGTTCAAGGAGACTCTGATGGCAGAGATGGCAACTGTTAAAGGGGACCAATGTGAAAGATGCAGGGTTTTACTTTGCTGTATTTTGAATAATGCAGATCTTTTGGCTTTGTGGCAGGTGGAGGGAGGTTCATTTTAGTGATCACAAAAAAATGCCACCTCAGTGATGGCTCCTTGGCTGGCCCTAATCAACACATCTCTGGAGCCTGCAATGGAGTAGTGCCAATGGAGGTCGGCCCAGGTCTGGCATGGGGTATTCTGAAAATTCAGGGCAAGCCTAGAATTTTGTTATTTTTAATAGTTTCATTTCCTCAATGACATTGCAGCTGCAGTTGAGTGACAACACTTACCCTAAGGAAGAGATAGGGAGGGGTGGACTCACTGGTACAGCACTGCCACGCATCTGGACAAGCAAACCAAAGAGCTCATGGAGCTTTTCCAAACTCCCCTCTTGGAAGGTTGCTTTTCCCTTAACAGAATACATGGCAGGTGTTCAGGCACAGAAAGCCACCCAGATAAAAAGAGTGAGGGACAAAAGGGTGCAAAGGCTGATCTCAGCTGCAGCGTGCTCTCTGGGGTGAGCAATTCCTTCAGGTTTCTAGCAGAGGCCCTCTCACAGTGTGAAGCAGTCGGAATGGCTGAGCTCTGACAGGGATTCTTAGCGGGCTCTGATGCTGAGCCCGGACACAGAGAAACCAGGTGAGCGTGGCAGCAGGACAAGGCTCCGGGCTGGGAGGAAAGCTGCAGGCCTGCACAGGAACAGGGTCCTGGTCACAACCCTGCCTTGTCTCAGAGATAATAACTGGGGATCAATGTAACAGCAGCATAGCCTTTATGAATTTATCCATCTCCACAGGCTGATAATGGCTGCTTTATGAAAATAGCATTAGTCTTCCACTCTTTCACAGCGAACTAATGGCTCTGAGCATATTTAAATTCGCTTCCTTTGCCGGAATAACTTATTTGCTCCCTTTCATGTTGACTTGGTCTTTGGCACTCTCAACATAAATGATTTATTGACTAGAGATAAAGCATTCTTTCCCCTGAACTGTTTCTGCGACCCAGGCAAAAGCGGATATGTCTGGTATTTATAAGGTGTTCAGCATAAAAAATGCAATAGACTTGATTGTCTGCACTCAACAGCCTTTCCGAGAACACAGTACCTGCCCCCATTCATAAGAACAAAGATCTCTCCCACATGTTTATTTATATTAAAAAGTTTTCAGAGGAATACGCTGGGATCCAGATAGTTGTTCAGGAGATGTAGAACAATTTCATAAATATCCCTGAGGAAGCATGGCCTACTTTGGGAGAATAACAGTGATTAAAAAAATTCAAACACAATGAATAGTTAAATACAAGCCAAAAAGTACAGTTATTTCCTTATGGCTCTGGCAGACAGTTACACACGTGAGAAGTGTCACGGGGCTCAGGGGAGCTATGCTTGCAGTTATCCACATGCATAGGCTGGCTGCAGGATGGAGACCTACACCAGCTTCAAGGGAGGTTTGTCCGATAGGCACCTACAGCAGACATCTCTCCAAGTCTGGCTACTCAAGGGTCTGGACTTGATTTTCACATTTCTCAGGGCCTATAACACTGCTTTTCTAGGTCACCATAGCTAAAATCCTGGGAAGCTTTTAAAACAAACTGTTTTAACAGGATAAGTGCACACATCTAAATTCATGCCCATAAACTGGAAGATGTTCAAAACTAACATTGATACAAAAAAAGCTTCGAGTGGCTCTCTGCCTAACGCAACTTTTTCTCATACACCCTTTTAAGATAACACTCTCTGATAAACTCTTCTTTTATAATTCAAATTATTCTGGATTTTTTCATCGGGTAGTAAAATAAGAGAACTCCTACTATAGAAGTATAGCATTCTCTTTTTAATTTAACATATCAATCAAAGTATTTTGTTTTTAATTGCTTTACCAACATGAAATCGATGTCAGTTGTCAGAGTGCGTTTTTAAAACCTGTAGCAGAAAGAGCTGTAAAATTTGCTGAAGCTTACAGTGGATCCGTGCCATGCACATGGCCGGCTCTATTGGTATCAGATTCCAACCTGCAACCCTATGAAAAGCTCTAAAAAGTGCAAATGTTGCAATTGGCAAAGATCCTTATGTTTTAAGGAGAATTTTTACACCAATTAATTTGAAATTAGGGACCAGGATTTTCAGAAAGAGAATGTAGAAGCTTACTACTCTGTAATTCTTGGGAGCTCCATTTGAGAATCCATGGAAAGACCCAAACTATTAAAAATCATTAGCAACTTCTGAAAATCTTTGTCACCAGTAAAAATATTTTGCGTTTGCACTGAGTGCTATAGAAGTATCCACTGTGCTGAATCTGAGATGGGTGGAGAGCTGAAACCTAAGCCCATAACCATCTGAAAAAAAAATGAAACCATGCAGATAATTATCTGTTTGTTGTACAGGCACCCTCAGTGGTTGACCTTCCATCCTCTAGCAATGAACTGCACAATATTTTTTAAGAATTATAACACAGGAGCTTCCTCCAGAAAGGTGCCTGTGACTTACTCTAACTGCACATTCTCTCCATCACTGCATCTTCACACAGCATTCTCTCACCCAGAGTTTGGAATAAATGCTAACAGCAAATCTACTCAGGCTGGAGAGAGTGACAGTCTTTAAGTACACAAAAAAGCTCCCTTTAATTTTAAAGAAAGAAGGAACAAAGAGGTAAGCCCCCTCAGTGTGTTGATGACATCAGTTCATTATAAAGAGTATGCCAAGAAGGTCCTGATGTGAGGGATAGACACTAATTCCACTGAGTCCCCATGGAAGAAACAGTACCACAGCCAGCTGTGATACAACCAGTGATGAGGTCAGCCATTCAGAGACTGAACAAAAAACAGCGTTCAGGTTGAATGCAACAGTCATGAGCCTGCTACAGTATATTGAAAGGCTTATTGGAACCATTTGCTTATTCCCAGTTCCTACCAAAATACTCTTTTGAGTAGAAAGTGGAAAAAGTTAATGAAGAATCTGCCCTCTCCAAAGGGAGTGTCTTGCTCCTTAGAAGTATAGTCTTACACTTTACCTTTTTAGAGAGTTTGGTTTGGACTACAATTTCCCAGCCCTGCCCAAAACATAAGTGGTGGCCAGCATAAAGAACCTGAATTCTTCCAGTTTACTCTGGTTTTATTGCAGACCAAACCCAGGGTCACATACATGTCTGAGAAAGGCTCTCTCCCTTGCCTCTCCCTCGCTGAGTTAGAAAACACACTGGCACACCAGAAACAGGACCCTTTGACATTTGGTGGGTGAGAGGGAGAGCAGACACAGAGTATACCCTGCTCTTGGCTACCTCTGTGACAGCTGTTCTCTTAAGTCATGAAAAAAGAAGTCACATCTCTGCCACGTGCAAATCTATCTACACAACCTACTGTGAATCAGTGAAGGGATGCTAGTACTGGGCTTCAGTTTGGATGCAGTCTCAGCACAAACACTGAAACATATCCTCAGTATTTTAAAAAAGGACCATTATATATATATGGACTGTGCTACTTCTGTGAGAAAAGCACATATGAAGTGCTGATATTGTTTAACAGAATACCATTAGACTGCAAAACTAACACATACAAGACGTTTACATTCCTATCAGGGTGTAATATTGTGAACATATCCACTGAGATTGGAGAATTGTTGTAAGTTTTTCCTAAAACATCATGCCATCTGCATACATAATAAAAGAATCCAGTAGTTGCCATGCTATAACAGGACTTCTAGTGAAGGGCATAGACAGTCCCCTAAAGGGAACTCAAAAGTTATGCACAGTGATGAAGACTGGAAGAAATTTTCCAGCTAAAGGTCTATCAGTGACTGTTTTCAACAAATTAGATATTTTGGATATTTTGCACCACATATTTACTCCACAGCAAACCAGGTCTCCCCAGAATGTATCAGCTGAGTGGGCTGATTTTACTTCAAGTTTGTCTTCAATCCTCCATGGTCATCTTCTGGCAGCGCCATTAATTGTGTTTTTTTCATGAAGGAAAATTCACTTTCATATCAAGTGGCAGGACAGCAGCTTTAGAGGCTGGAAATGTTTACGGAGAGCTCTCTGCTGGGGCTGTGAGAAACAAAATAAAAATCCAAAACAAGACCGTGAGTATAGGACAGAGCAAAGAAATTATCATGCATTTCAACTAAAATGAAAAAAGTCAGGTTTGAGCTTAGTAAATGCACTCCTAGAATATATATTGTGACCCTAGAACTTTTTTAATCAACTTTACTCACCAACCAAAAAACTCTTAATCCATTCCTTAGATAAAGTGCAGACTAGCAATCATTTGCATGATTTAACAAATCCTACTTGAATTTTATTGCCTCATGTGAAAGCACTGCTTATTCTTCTTGTAGTCTGAGTCCCAGAGAGCAGGGCTCTTCTGTTTGGTTGGATTTGCATTACCTACAAGAGGCTTGATAGCCAAAAGCTGGAAAGGCTCTGCCAAAGTAGTATTTGATGTTCCTTCACCCTTTCTGCTGGCTAAGATGGTAAGAACTGGCCACTGGTGCATAGAAAACAGCTCTCCCATATAATTCCCCACTTCAGATCCCATAAGATAATGAGGAGGTTGCAGAGTTTCTCTTTCCCCTGCTAAGCAGTACAGCACACCCAGAGTTGGTGGCTGCTATTCCCTGCCCGAAAGCCCCTGCAGAGGTGTACAGCCATCACACCATAAAGGAAGAGAATGTGGAGGTTATTTGTATCTTCTCCTCCCTTTCACCCAAGCTCTTCTTTGAGAAGCACAGCAAAAGGACAAGAGGCAATTGACAAAAGAAGCAACAAGAGATATTCCAGTTAGATGCAAAGGAAAAAAAAATCTTCCAAGTGAGGGTGGTTACCTTTTGGACCAAGTTGCCTCAGCAGGCTGTGGGACCTTCACCTACACAGATACCTGCAGCTCAACCAGATGAATCCCTACACAACTTGATGTGGCCCTGCTTTGACCACAGTTTCCTGGAGCCATCTCCTGAAGCCTCTTCCAACCGAAATATTTTTAAGCTTGTACATTTTCTGAAGGGGATTTGTGCTTCTTGTTCTGCCTTTCTGAGCAGGAGATGAGTGCCTGTGCAGAGCTGCTCACGCTGAAGCACAGTCAGTTGTTAATTCAGTGTGTAGCACATAAATGCTTGTAAACCCATCACAGGCTCAAACTTCTGGGGCCGAGGAGACATGCAGAGACAAGTTCACCATATTATTTCATGGAATCACAGAATCATTTAGGTTGGAAAAGACCTTTATGATCATTGAGTCAAAGCGTTAACCCAGCACTGCCAAGGCCACCACAAAAATATTTTGGGATGCAGCTTTGCCCGTCACACAGCCCTCACCCATCACCTATTTTACAGATCAGATCTCTGACCATGGCAGTGCTGGGATGGGACTCACCAGAACGGGCTTTGCACCCTTTCCACATCCTGCTTATTTCATGAATGCATGTGTCTGTATGTGAGGGAAGAGCTGGATTGTTGGGGTTTGGGGGCCAGATTCCTAACTGTGAAGGTAACAGGATACTGATGCTGCCAAGGCAGCATTCACATCAGCTGAAACTCAGGCTGGCAGGGGATTCCTGCTTCTCACGCCTTCAAAATCATTCCTGGTAGGCTCTTCTCTGTGGGGTGTGGGCTGACTGGCCCTGCCAAGCTGTCATTTTGCCCATATTTGTCTCTACCAACCCCAAGCTCTTGTAGCAATGGGCATGAAGGTCTGATTGAGCACAGAAAGGATGGGATGATAAATCAGTAGGTATTGCACAAGACCAAAAAAACCACCCACTCCCTGGCATGAGGACTTGACCCCTGAGTGTAAATATGCCCTATGAAATAGAGTAAAATCCAGTTTCCTTAATTATTTCCTTCTTAATGTGGGCATATTTACCTGATTACAGTGCTACTCTTGATTTCTGTTTTTATAGCTGCTTTGCTTTTATCCTCCAGGTTTTCTAGGGTAATGTTCCCAACACTACCTACTGTCATCTGCTACATGAGATGCCCACATCAATAGTGGCCTGAGAAAGGCACACATTTCGGACCCAGCAACTGGTTTCACACCATGGAAGAACGTACAGGAAGGCTCTGAGCCTTCAGCTGGTCTAGAGAGATAACTGACTGTATCCCCCAAGACAGAAAAGAAAGCAATGGTGACATAAGCAATTTTCAAGACAAAAGGCAAATCTGTGGGGAGGTTTTAAAATTGGAGAGCAGCAACAGGTACTTAATCTCAAAAGTATTTGATTTCAGGTGAATTAGAGGATGTCTCCCATCTGAGTAGCATCTGTGGAGACAAGCCTGTCTCACAAAGGCCTGTCTCTCTTTCTTTGAGCTCATCTGCTGCAAAGAAGGGAAAATTTCAAAAGCTCTCCCGAGCAATGGAAAATACCTTGCTCAGCCACAGAGCTGAAGGACTAAAATAAAATGGGTAAACTGGCTAATTATATCAGGTCAGGCCTCAGGACTGCACTCATGCTGAAATTCCCCAATCATCCCCATTGTCTCAGTCATTAGCTTGTATTTGTACTTAAGTTTGAAATGAGCCATCTGGCCCTTCAGACAGAAACCCATGAATGAGGAGAAATGGAACTGATCCCAACCTGAGCTCCATCCACACCACAGAGGGAGCACAACCACTTCGAGCCATGCAGAGGGTCTGGGTACAAGTGGTGACATTGAGCAAGCAGACAGCAGTGGTTCTGCCAAGCTCTGCATTTAGAGCAAGTAAACTCAGGCTTTAGTGGTCATCCAGCCTGTTTCTTCTCACTTTGTCTTTTGAGGACAGGGCTTTAGAAGCACCTATTCTTCCTCATTACCTGCATCATTTTTTGTGCCTAGCTGGAGGCTCCTCTAAGTACCTTGGTTTTATAACAGTACATATCCAGTGTTTACTGAAAGTAAAGATCTTTATAAAAAGATATCACAAATGAGCAGCTGCTTTTGAAAACCCTTCCTGAGACATTAAGCTCTGAAAACAAAGACAGTCCTTTGCAGGAGGTGTCTATGCTTACCAACACAACAGTGAACAGATCTAATCTCACATGACATTTTCAATAAGCTGATGTAGGGAGACAACTATCATTTCAAAGCCAGAGATGTATTTCAGTTTTTGAGTATCTGTGCTGTGTGAGTTTTGTCTGAGAAAGGGACATATTTTAGATTAATTTTAAACACATGTTAATTATACTCAACCTAGAGGTATTACCTATTTGCCACATTTCCATAATTGAGGGATTCTAATAAAGAAAACAAGCACCTATTATCTTTGCTAGGTTTACTCTCCTGGAACTAATTTTATATCATATTTCTAAAGTCAGCACATTTCAAACACAGGATTATAATGAAAAATGTCTATTTCCAAACATCTTTCTACCATCTATTTCTTGGAGTCTGTGAAAAACTGCATTCAGCTTCATTTAGAAATATTTATTTCTGTGTTAGAAAGGACATACATATCTCACTTCACATGTCTCATGCCACTTGAGACATTTTAATATGCTATACATTACTGCTGATTTGTTGCATCTTGCTAATAACTAATTAGAGTTCATATAACTGTCGAATGATTGGGGTTGGGAGGGACCTTGAAGATCATCTAGTTCCATTCCCCTGCCATGGGCAGGGAACCTTCCACTAGACCAGGTTACTCAGAGCCCCATCCAGCCTGGCCTTGGACACTGCTGTGGATGGCACAGCCACAGCTTTTCTGTGCAACCTGTGCCAGGGCCTCACCACCCTCACAGAACAGAACATCTTCCTAAAACCTTATCTAAACCTGCTCTTTTCAGGTTAAGGCTCCTTGTCCTGTTACACCATTGTGGAAAGTCCCTCTCTAGCCTCACTGTAACTCCCTTTAAGGTAATGGAAGGTGCTATAAGGTCTCCCTGGAGCCTCTTCTTTTCCAGGCTGAACAGTCCCAGCTCAGCCAGCCTTCATGGGAAGGTGTTTTAGCCCCATGATCAGTTTAGTGATTCTGAACTCCTCTGAACTCATTCCAACAGGTCCATGTCCTTTTACTGGGGACTCCAGAGCTGGACACAGTACTCCAGATGGTGTGTGTGTCCAGCTCTGGGGCCCCCAACAGATACCATTACCACTGAAGAGTTTTGGACACTGATAAAAGAAAATTCCTGGCAGCCCACTCATAGATTTACCCTTTTCTTTATTGTGCATTGAATTATTATCAACACCAAGGTGTGAGAGAATGAGACCTCTCTGTAAGGCTCATGGAAGTTCAAGTCTCAGGTAAAATGAAAGTACCACCTTGGGGAGCTGCTGATACCAGTCTGTCACCATGGTGGAAGGAGACTTGGCAGGGGCTGGGAAGCGCTGCCATGGGGCAGCCTTGGCAGGAACAGGAAACATTTGCCCCTGTACTTCACCAGTGACGTTGTACCTGCATTTGGTTTCACTCTATCACAAACCCATCCCATTCCTGCTCTGGGTGGAGAACAGCACTGGTTTTTTAACCTGCAGGTAAATGCAGCTCCTGCTGCACATCCTCATTATGTAACGGGTCTCTGATAACCAGAGTCAGCAATGCCAGAGATCCAAGGTTACCTCAAACAATTGCATGTGTGGAGCCAGCAGCAGTGGGTGGCAAAGCAGTGACCCCCCAGCCCCTCCATCCACTCACTAACCCCTTCTCTCATATCAGCAGCCCTGGCTCACACAGACTGCAAGTCCAAGCCTCAGGGCTGCAGACACAGTGCCACAGCCTAGCAGCCTGTGTTAAACAGTGGCACATTAATCTAGGGACTGAATGCAACACCCAGCAGCTGAGAGAACACAAACATGTGGATGGAACACAAACATGTGGATGCTTTTTGACAAAACTGCCAATTTTTAGGAAGGAAGTCTCTTCTTACTTTGTATTTTTAATTTGATTGCCAAGCAAGAAATTAAGATCTTGATTTTGGAGTACCTTTGACAGAAAAAGTGGGCCTGTGAGCACAACACCTACAGCATCTAACATAGTAATCCTAATCCTAAATGTTTGATATTCTTTAATGAGTCCATGCAAAATAACTGTAAAAGCCAAAAATATGTAGAATCAAATGTTGTCTTCCCTTCACA